ACCAAGTGTGCCCAGTGGCCCAAACAGTAGACATGAGCTGGGCCATAGGTGACGGTGATGCAAGACTAGGAAGTCCCTACATGGGCCATGAGTCAGAGCCCACTGGGCAGCCGCCCACAACCACTGGACCGCACTCCCGGTAGGCAGGGAACACGCAACGCAACCGCAGTCCATCTCCATCTCGGGCCATGACATGTGCAGGGTAATGGAAGGAGGTGGCAGCCTGCCGCTGCTGCCCAGTCTCACACATGAGAAGCCTAAGGCTGATGCAGGGACAGGAGCGAAGCCTGTCCTTCTTGTGGTGCCCGGTCCCCGGCGCTTGGCTTCTGGGATCGGGGCTCATCTCAGGACAGGCTGTGGGGATGGGGTCTCAGGGAAGCAGGTGTGCATGTAGGTCCCAGTGGGCATCTGTCAACAGCCTTCCCCTCCCTCATCTCTGATAGGGCTCACTCCCCACGCTCATCTCCTGTTGGAAGTGGGCACATGACTCAGCATAGCCCATCCCTCAGCAACGGTGATTGGCTTAGGACCGGGCATGTGACTCCGGCTGGTCCAATGACGGGCCACCTGGAAGGTGTGCAGACCGATCCGATCCGTGAGCCGTCTCGGTGGCTGAATGTGTTGAGACCTCAAGGTGGCTGGGGCGAGAGGGCTTAGACCCCATTGGGGAAAGCAGAGGCCAGAGAAAGGATGCAGGAGACCCACCCCAGCGGGCCTGGGCTTCTTGGTGGGATGGACCTTTTCTTCTTCCAGCGGCTCCCCTTCCCGTGTTGTCACTGGCCACCAGGACAGTCGCTGCCATCCCCATTGTCCATGGCTCTTGTGTCTACACGACACTGCATGAATGGTCGCAATCATCAACATACGCTCCACTGTAACTGGCCCTCGCCCGGGAGCCCAAACCCACGGTGCCCTCCCTGCATGGAGTCGGAAGGAGAAACCACCCAAGGAAGGTGGGTTTTGCATTCCATGAACAAATTTCCTTGAACGCGCTTTCCCCCAGCCACCTGGTGGGAATCGCTGGGAGACAGAGGGGTCTCTCGGTCAGGAGCCTGAGGTGTCTGCTGGGAGAAGGCCGCAGCTGGGTGCCCCCACCAAGGCCACCACTCGGAGAGCTTGTCACAGGCCTGTCCAGGCTCCCTACAAACAAGAACCCAAACTCACTGTCATCGAGTCAATTCTGACTCATAGCGACCCTATAGGACAGCGCAGAGCTGCCCCTGCGGGTTTCCAAGCCTGTAACTCTTTACAGGAGTAGAAAGCCCCATCTTTCCCCCCATGGAGCAGCTGGTAGTTTTGAACTGCCGACCTTGAGGTTAACAGCACAGCTTCCAGAGCTCTTCCCTGCCTCTACAGCAGCCCTTGAACACAATCTGTGTCTTCACTGCCTGAGACGGCTTGAGCCAGACTTCACACTCGTTTTGAGAATAAGGAGACTTGGGGGGGAGGTGTTGTTCTGGGGTGGTTTGCAGCAGCAGGCGCACAATCTGAAGGGGCAGCCTGCCCTCTTCTCAGGAAGATAATGATCCTAATAGCACCGCATGCTTAGCGTGCAATTGGTCGTCTGAGCTGGGGTGAGTGAGCGCTTCATAATAGGCTCTCCCCTTTTTGTCTTCTGAGGAGGGGTGGGCAGCCACCAGCTGTCATCACGGGGCTCACAAGGACACTGAGGCTCAGGGAGGCAGGAGATGGCCCTGGTCCTGGTCCCCGGGGAAGCGGGGGAGCAGATGAATGGATTCTGGACACTGGGCTGCTTCTCAGAAGCTGGGAGCAAGCTCTACTGCAGCGAGATCAGACCTCAAAACGAAGCCAGGCGCACTATGGCGACAGTTAACAGTTAAACGGTTACCCACAGTGCCCAGCCTCCCGGGGAGGGTCAGCTCAGCACTGCACAGGAAGAGGCCCTTTGCCTTTGGGTCACTTCTGAATCAGGGTAACCCTGTGTGCAACAGAGTAGAACTTCCCCACGGGGTGCCCTTGACTATTGATCTTCCCAGAACGGGATGCCAGGACTCGCGCTCGGGAGTCTGCACCTTCGCAGCTGAGAGCGGATGGTTTGGGCCACCCAAGGGCCTTCCACAGATGCGACAGCAACTAACAAGAGATGGGTGGTGGTAACAAGCAGTGATGTTT